CCCCCCATGTCGATAAAATTCCAAAATCATCCCCCCTCCCGCCCCTCTACTTCCCTCACCCCTTCCCGTTTTTTGGAGAAATTTCAAATCACGGACTTGGACTTGGAATGCCTCTCCCCTCACTGTCCCGGATCCCGTACCCGACTGAATGGGCCCCTAAAGGATCAAGGATCTAAAGGATGGCGGGGGCCTAGCCCAGGACCAAGGATCTACAAAAGGGCCCATGCAGGCCCAAGAATCGAAGGGCCCCCAAGGGCCTTGTAGCCTACGAAATACCTACGAAAAGTGACAAAAAAGAGAAAAATTTTAGTAATCACTGAGTGGACATTGGAAGGCAGGGGCCCTTCAGCAAAAAAAAGTTAGGAACAGTCCAAAAGAAGTATGAATAGCCCTGAGCTAACAATAAAAATCAGCGGAAGAAGCCCCATCTCGGTAAGTAAAGGCCCAAAGTTTGAAACCAAAGCTAAGCATCAAAGAGACAGAGAAAAACAAAATTTCGGCGGCCGAGGGCCCGGAGGGCCTCCTAGGCGCTTGGGCCCCCCTGCATAGCAGGGTCTGCGGGGGCGCCCGTTACGCCACTGAGATCAATCGCTAAATCGATCTATCGAACACACCACGCCACTGGTATTTTCGCAACATATTCACGTGATCCTGTTGCTTGACCATGAGCTTCGATCATGAGAGGAAATTTACGTGTTTTTCTCAGTGGCTATCGATTGGGGAGATGCTCGCCATCCGTGTCATGTCGAGTGAACTCAACAGCTTTTACTCATTTTCGAGTGATCGAACGCGCCTGAGACATGTTAGTCTTCGTCAAGTGGTCTCCTATCTACAGATTAGCTTTTGTCTCGTAGCATGGAAATAACTTGCCTTTTTATGGTACAAACTAATTTTAAGTACGTAGTAATGACATCGTCTCTGAAATCATGGAATTGCCGGCCCTCTGGTTATTCTCGTCTGAAAGCGAGTAAAACCACACACTTGAGACTCTCTTAAACAGTCATAGAGAGTAATGTTCAGATGCACACAAAATTATTTTTTAAAAAAAGCCAGACTTCGCTTAAGGGCGGCCTCTCGTTCGTTTTTTTCTCAGAACGATATCACCATATTTACCATTACTTTTACTCGGCATCTAAAGTAAAGGCTAAAAAAGTGAGGCTTTGTATACCAAGATTTTGATGTACAACATCTTTAGTACTTAAGTAGGGAATGACTAATATTTCCCAATGTATTTTGCTCTGCTCTCCTAGCGCCGCGCCGCACAATGGATCGTGTTAATCGGAGAAGTTATAGACATGAAATTTTTGACTAACACTACAAATTGTAATGTTTAATTCGCCACATTTCAAATTTTATGGGGAGCCTCTAGCAGAAAATTTCACGAGGAAACCAATAGAACCGCTTTTAAAATCTCAAAGTTTTGTATAAATGAAGTTGTAAGCTTTTAAAGTTTCCAAATCTTGGCCGACCTCTCCCACTGACTCGATCCACCGTGCGCCGGCTGCCTTTATTTCGCCGTGTAGTGTCGATGTTCTGAACGTGAAAGTGCGCCTTCAATTTACCGTGTATGCAACAAAGACCTCTTTCAAGCAGCATTAGTTGCATTCCCCTAGGCGTTTCCATTTACAACGTTTCCGCTGTCTCGTGATCTTGCGATATTTGTGATTTTGTCTCTTTATTTTCCTTTGTGAATACAAGGACCATTATCCAAAGTAAAGTCGTATTTGTATTCTCCCGAAACAATGTCGATGGATCTTTTGGATCAGCGAAATCAGCACCTGAGGTGTTTTTCGACTCATGTAATCTCGATGGCAGACGAACAAAAGATATCTCCTGCACCTCATTTCTGCAGTTATCTTAAAACCGCCGAAAATAGAAGTAGGTATGGTTTCAGAGTTTCACAGTCGAAATTACAATATTCAGTAAGAATTTTTGGTGAACATATCAATTATTTCGGGATAAAAGCAGTTCAACTAAGAAAGAAAAAAAAATTGTCCTCCTCAATTTCAGCGTTCGTCCTTCATCATTTCCCATATATTTGTACATTGGATGGAAACGTTCACTCTGCATGTTATAAGTATAGTCATTCTACGCATTCACAAAAAAAAAGAAAAAAATAATAAAAATAAAAATTATAAAACTTGGTTCTTGATGGAACAAAATACTTCCCCGCGCACGACCTGGTATGGATACTAATATTTTGTTTTTATTGGTTGTAACTTTGTAAGAGAGACGGTAAGTCTTTTTCTTTTCCGAGGTTCAGGTAAGTGCTTAGCTCAAGTAATTTTCCGTTGATAACGTTGAGTGATGCTTAGGTAGGTATCACTACGATTACATATCATTACTCTTCATGTAATAGTTTCCATGCCAAATATTTTATGGGGTTTGTTTCGAGGAGTCGGACCGTCCCGTTACGGTTTCATCGGACCCATCCCTTTTAATGCAAATCCTCACTATAAGGGTGGAGGGGGGGGGCTTTTCTCTAGCTTAGCGCGGCTTCCTTTTCCCGCGAAAACTCAGTTTAAAAGGTCCAATAGTGTCTCACGTAGAGAACATCACGTGACGCGAAAACTCCGCCCCGTCCTTATCCATCATGCATGAGTCTTATCCAAGACCAATCCACACAGGTCAGTCATTGCGCAGCTTTTTTGAAATCCACTCCCCCGCCCGGCCCTAACTCGCAGCACTCATTGTGACGTACTATTGAGTGCACCCATAAGAAATACATTGTATGCACTCAATACTACGTCACTGCGCAGTAGAGTACCAAAATTCGTCCTCGGGAATGACTGACCTGTGTGGATTGGTCTTGGTCTTATCAGCGCGTGCGCGCGAATTCGAAGAAGACCACTTGAAATTAATATTTGCTCAAGCTCAATTGCTCATTCATTTATCAACCGCCCGGATTTAGCGTTCAACTTTTCTGTGATTCCTCCCAGGATTATACGAATCCATCCGTGCAGTTGTCATTAGATTTTCTCTCGGGCACCCACGAACTTCCGGAGTGGTAAAAGTCGCATCGAGTTGTATTGTTGTTTGTTATCAGCTGTGCGTTCTGAAGTAAACAAGTAATTGAAGTAATGGTCGTTGCAACCGATTCTTGATTGTGCCTTGTGTTCGAGCCCGTGGTTCGTTTCGTGTTGTGTGGTAATAATCGAAATTCGACTTGTCTCTCGTTGTTTGTCAGCTCAAAGTGACTCTATGCTCTCCGTTTGTGTCAACTCTCAACTGTAGACTATATTCTTATATCTAACCTGCTGCAATTCTCCTTGAATCATGGGCAGTATAGGCAATGATCAACCTGCTACTGGGAAAATCATCGTGGTCGCCAATAGGTTACCGTTTGTCTTGAAACGAAATGAAGCCGGGAAACTCATTCGGATTGCCAGGTAAGCTTCCTTACAGTCGTCTCCTAAATATCCACCTATCGTTAGAAACTCTCCCCATCCTCCGAAGGAAGCTTTTTGAGGAACGCATTTAAGTATGGCTGTCTGAGTGCTCCCTCTCCATGAAGCCTCATTCACACGATTCGAGTTTTCATTCAACTCTTTTTCTGCTTATATCATGGAATAGTTCCATCATTTGATATTGACTCGAGAACACATCAATTTGGTTAAAAGTGAAACAGAAACTTGGATGTGGCGTTACCTGGTGTGCCCAGTGTCAGTGCCAATTGGATCGAAGAGAGAACAGAGAGTTTAAATAAAACTTCCCATCGACATCAGTATAAACTGTATCTTTGCAAATTGGAAGCTGGCGGTGATATCTAAAATTCTGTGTGATGATATCACATGGCAACGGCAGCTGATTTCAATTTTGTTTAGTTCAACTTCCCATCCATCTTTTTTATCGCTTATGTCAGATGAAAAGTTGAATATATAGTGGTGAATTGGGCTTGAATCATTTTTTTTTCTTTTATAATACATATTAGTTTTGTGAAAGCCAAACCATGACTCGCCAAAATTGAACCTACGTAAGGTCAACTATGATATTTAAGGAGAGGGGGTTATACAATTGGACGCATTTATGTGATAGGAAGTACTTACCTATACCAATCTGCTCAAGAGATTGATAACATTTCTGGATTGGAGGTCGGAAGCTTTTTTGTGGCTCAAAGCTAGTTTTCTACTTAATGGCCACCATGTACTTAAGACGAAGCCGTGAAGAAACATTACTCCTCATCAGTCTAAAGGAGGTAAAAGGGGTTTTCCCCAAGTCCTCTTATAGGTCTAGGTAGACTTGTTTTACCAAGTTAATCTACTTTTGTACTACATTATGCGGAAGGAGTCTCTCTGCAGGTATGGGTGGAACTAGAAACTTTTCGGGGGGAGGGGGGTTGTCACAGGGGCATCTCATCAATTGAGTTTTGGGGGTACAAAGACGACAACCCTCCAAAGGGGGTCTGCAGGACACCCTTAGCTCCAAAGAAAGTTGCAAGGACTCCCCTAGCTTAGAAGGGAGATCTGAAGGGCTTCCCCCGAAAAATTTTGAAAAATTAAGTTGTCTTCGGAGAAAGTTTAAGCTGTTCTTGCCCAAAAATTGACCTCAATACAATTTCCAAGATGAAGGATATGTTATGCACTTACTGAGGAAAATCTCTCTCATTTGTTGGGAGGGGCCAAGCAGATTACGGGGGTGGGGGGGGGGCAGCCTCCCCCTCCTATTTTCGCCCTTGCCTGTAGGAAAAAAAAAAATAAAAAAAAAAATGTTAAAATCCCTTCACTCTCTCTGCCTCTTAATGGAACCTTGAAGATTTTTTTGAGTTCGGAAATAAATTTTAGGGATACTATAGCCAGACCACAGAGTTTTTTAGTTAATGTCTATTTACAAGATGCATTAATGCATTTCGGGTACATAATCCATCTTCAGTACACGCATGATAACAACAAGCGAAAATTTCACAAAAACGTGTCAAAAATGCATGCTATGACTAATTAAATTAAAATTTAAAAAAACCTTGCAATATGCGGCTCAACTCATATATATTTTTTGAGTTAACCTTGCGCAAGAGAGGAGGTCGAATTGGAATTCAAATTTCGGATGCGTTCCTATCCAACAGCTGATAGCAGTCCGAAATTGTTCCCTGTTTACTTTGTTTTCAAAACTCCCAAATCACACAGACTTCAAGTAAATGCGTTTCAGCAACCACACACACG